AAAGCTCTCCAGTATGAACTATTGCTCTAACCTCCCTAGTGGTTAGAACCCTCCTGGAAGGATCAGAACACACTCTACAATGCTGAGAGGGACTTTTCTAAAATGCCCATAAGGAGGTGTGAAGGTAGAATGGAACCACCAATAGGTGGTGAAGCTGCGGTTTTTCTGATGTGTATACCCAGGAAGTACTGGGATTCCAGCAGTCAAGGTGGCTCGTGACAGGTTTTCTTGATGGCCGAGTGAACTCTGCTTCTTGAGAAAAGCAGATGTCCTCCATCTCGGCTGCTTTGCTGAGCACAGCAGCAGGATAGCAACCCCTTTGGCCTCCCATCCTAAGCCCTGCAGTACCCAGCCCCGCATCGGCAGCCCTTCCACCCTTCCTCTCCTTATTTGAACAAATCAAACTGAATCCCAAGAAGATAGTTTTTAGGTCATCTGTCTCGAATAAAGGTAGTTATAATGACCACTGTCATAGACACTATTCTGTTGCTGTGAAGAGACACCATGACCAAGACAACTCTTCCGACTTGTTATCTCCAAAAAGCATTCAAATATGTGAGCCTATGTGGCCATTCTAACCTGCCCAGCTACCCACAGGCATCTCTAGGTACTTCTTTTTTAGGTTAGCATAAAGTTAACAGGTTCTGTTATGACACCTTCATACTTATGTATCATTACTTCATTCTCATTCTTTCCTCTACTGTACTCCCCCAGGGTCCCTTTCCTCTGATTCCCTTCTAGTTGGTTCCCCCCTTCTGCTTTTCTATTATATTGCCCTCTGTTTCCCACTATTTTCTTTATAACTCTGCAAAAGAGATCTTTATATCTTTTCTTACAGTTAAGGGAAATGAGGCTCTTCAAGGCTAAGTAACCAGTGCAAGATAGCCTAAAGGGCCAGCTCAGGTTTGCACTTAACTTTGTTCATGAGTGTCTTTATCAACATTTTTTGGGGGTGGTTTTAATTACTTGTAACTATTGGCTGTTGTAGAGAGTAGGGTCTTTTTAATGCCTGCAGGAAAAAAAAATAAGAGTAGTTTCATTTGAAATTAGCAATTAAAGATCATACCCTTGCCCCTAGTGTTGATTTTGTCATTTCACAGTTTCATGTGAAAAGCCTGCAGTTTGTAGACTGTTGTTCCATATTTGGAGTCTGCACTCTTCATCACATCTCCCTGAAACTTTTTAGCGTCATTCTCAAAGTGCAGTCTCCAGTGAGTGCTGTAGTATGGGCACAGATTAATAAGGAGCTCTGACCTTTAATATATGGGCTCTGCTTCTGTCCAATGTAACCAAAGCTGGTAATGGCTTTAAAGGGTGCAAATTTGCTAGGTCTAGTTGCCTTTCTTGTTATTAACATATAAAACCCTAAGATGGTCTCTCAAGAACTACAGCACCAACTGTGGTAAACTTGGTTTCCAGATCCTGCATTTTTGGAGGCCAGGATTGGTCTGGTCAGTTTTATATGGTCCTTTTCTGTCGTAAGCTTTTGGCCCATTCATAAGTGTTTCTAAACCACCCAATTTGATATCATTTTGATTTTGGAGATCCATTAATTAACCGTGTTTGTTTTATGTTTGTGTCTGATGCTAGAGATCCAGTGGAGAATTAGATCAAGTTCCTACCTGTACAGAATTAGCCCACTTCAGAAGGTGTTGGGAAATACCTGGACAGAAGCTTGGAGAGCTAACCCAAGTGTCACTTAGACTGGACATAAATCAGGCAGCTTGAGTCTGGAGTGCTGCTCTTTCAGTGTGACTTTACCTTGGCTCAAATCCAGCTGCAAGCCTGGGAGAGCAGCTTCTGAAAATTAGGTTGTAAAACTTTTGCCTTAGGTGTAGGTGCAGAGAGCAGGTTATTTACATGACTTCTTCAAGAAATAAAAGCAGTCAGGGCACAGTGGTGTACACCCTTGAGCCCAGCACTCAGAGGCAGAGGCAGGTGTATCTCTGTGAGTTCTGGGATAGCCTGGTATACATAGTGAGTTCGAGGACAGCCATGACTTCATAGAGAGAAAGAAAGAAAAGCACTGGAGCTGCTTCTGTCATTCTGCTTCTGTCATTCATTTGTAGAACCCTTGCCTCCCATGAAGGAGGTGCTGGGTCCTGCTACCATCATCACCAAAACTAAAACAAAGACCAGAACACAAAAGAGGATACAAAGTCCATTAAGGTTCCTGTTTGCTGGATTAGATAGGAGTCCAAGATGGCTTCAGACTGATAATAGCATTTCTTTTTTTTTTTTTCTTTTTTTTTTCCTGCCTTAATTGTTTTTGTTTTCTAGTAGTGACTGAAGGAGAACCACTAAAAGGAAAGGACCATAACATCTTTCTTGGGGCTGGTAAAAATGGGAGATCCTAAATGACTATCCTTCAACTAAAACCTAATAAAGGGACCTCAGAGGCTATAGTAGGGATTAGGAGCTGAAAAGAAAACAGAAGGCATGTATGCCCACAGGAGAGTAGTTGGGGCTGAAGCAATAGAAAAATCCATGAGATGTTCTTGATCAGAAGACAAAAACATAGGCCTTGACAGTACAGCTAGTACAAATATAGATGTTTGTACTGTTAAGAGCAGAAGAGGGGAGTTTGGTTCACCCTATACTGGGAGAGAGTAGGGAAGGTTTCCAAGAGAAAGTGAATCCTTAGGAGCAGTAAACCAGGGCTAGAGAATGGCTACATGCTGAACATGGTAGGAGAGGGCAAAGATTGGGGAACTGTACTTAGGTGGACACAGCAGGAGTGGAAAAGGTTCATTGGGAACAGGCAGGAGATACTTTGGGAAGTGAAAACAAAAAGGGCCTTTGCACTAAGCTAAGGCTTTGTGTACCTTATCTCCACAGTTCTTTAGGGATAGGCACTCTGGTAGCTACTAAGATATTTGGTAAATGTTGGTCATTTTTAATCCTTGGGGCTTGTGTCCAGGTCAGGCCCATTTTGAAAAGGGAGCTAAACAATACAAGTTTAATCAAGGGGAAGGGAGGTTTTTGTTTGTTTGTTTGTTTGTTTATTTGTTTGTTTCTTTTTCGAGACAGGGTTTCTCTGTGGCTGTGGAGGCTGTCCTGGAACTAGATCTTGTAGACCAGGCTAGTCTTGAACTCACAGAGATCCACCTGCCTCTGCCTTCCGTGTGCTGGCATTAAAGGCATGCGACACCACCTCCTGGTGAGAAGGAAGTTTTATAAGCACTAATGATAACTCCGATAAGCCAGACAGATGGCAGCATCACCACACCTCCTGTCAGCTATGCTCATCAGTTCTGTTCTCCATTTTCTTTCTCTGAACTGACTGTCCCTTCTTTTGCTGAGTCTTGATTCTTTCATGGACCCTATAGTTGTTCCAGCTTCTGAATCCTGGGTCTTTGCTCTCCCTGATGAAAGCAGTGTAGAGAGGTTCTGGGCCATAGGTTATTAGGCAGCCTGGACTGCCCTTTGCTTTTGTGTGTTACTTAGTTGGGTCTTGACCAGTGTTGGGATAGGGAGGTCTGTATCACAGGGAATGGCCACTTGAGTGTCTCCTACAATATGTCTGCCACATGGACAGAGCAGGCACCCTAACACATGACTAGCTCATCCATCCTACTGTTTATAGGTGCATTTATGTGTCAGGCATTAAAAATTTGTACATTAAAAAAAAATAATAAAACAACCAACCTCCCCCCCCAAAAAAAATCCACCACTTTGTAAATGCACAATGCTCTACACCATGTTTGTGTGTCTGAGTTATAAAAGGTGTTTCTGGTACCTGTCTTGAAAATGCCTGCTTCTGTTTATGTGTACATTCTGTCACACAGCCCAAAAGATGATACCAGGGAAAACCTATCGTCTAGTTCTAGGGTGAGAGCCATTCTCTGTGGGTGTGGCTGGGTGTGTGGGTGTGGTGTTTTTGTTTTTGAGACAGGGTTTCCTGTCTGGAACTCACTTTGTAGGCCAGGCTGGCCTTGAACACAGAGATCTGCTGACTCTTCAACGATGTGCCACTACCACCCAGCTATAAATTCTATTCTTTCTCCTTTTTTTTTTTTAAGTATGTGTATAGAGGTCAGAGGACAGCCTAGTTAGGAGTTCTCATTCCACTATGTAGGTTATGGGGATTGAGCTCAGGTCTGCAGGCTTGGCTGTAAGCGCCCTTACCCACTGAGCCTTACCCGATTGAGCAAATGGCACTCTTTGTGCACTAACCTGTTTTTGTCTACATCTGGTGGGTCTTAGATGGTTTCACATTAGACTCTGCTTATGAGACAAGAGAGCACATAAATCTTTAGAAAACCTCTGACTTGAGAAAGAAACAGGCAAGGAGGAATGGCATCTTAGGTTGGTGGCTAGGTGTTTCTAGAGGGAAGAGATGCTGGGGAGGAGAAGGAGTATGGCAGGTCTCAACTTCTAAAAGTCTTCTGAAAAACACTTGGTGTTGTTTTATTCTAGAGGATAGATAATAAGGAAGCTGACAATTGAGAATCTTAAGAATACAAGTTAAATAACAGATATACATTTAGAAAAATGTGGAGGGTAGATGGAAAAGAGAGATTTGTGTTAGACCCATTTAGAGATTGATAACAAATTAGATGACTGAAGAAGAAAGTTGACGTACGGTACAGAGGGAGGACAGCTAGGAGAGGCGAGAAGGGGAGGGAGTAGCAATATATATATATATATAGATGGGCAATTTTTTAACTTTCAGATGTCAAAGGAATTATTTGTCCAGAAAGTCTCATTACTGGCTTATTTTTTACAACAAAAACCACCCTTTTAACTGCTTTGTTGTGCTGCTGATGGGAAACTGGAAGACTGATGCCTGGAGGTCACAAGTTAGCTAATTTAATAGTAGCTATTACTTAGTTTTGGTTTGATTTCCCTTTTGCCTTTTTCACAATTAATCTCATAGGCCTGTGGTTTGAGCAACTTCAGGCTAGTTACGTGGTATGGTAGTTCTGTGACCTTATAGTTTTATTAGGTAGCAAGAATAGTTTAGTCATGGAATGGCATTGTTTTACTTTTCCACTTAGCTTAAAAGATGATGACAGTGGAGACCATGATCAGAATGAAGAAAACAGCACACAGAAAGATGGTGAGAAGGAAAAAACGGAACGAGACAAGAGCCAGAGCAGCGGCAAGAGGAAGGTATGTTTTGGGTTATAATCCAGGTGTAGTTATCTTTGGCTGAGGCCTTGGTTGTCTTATGGAATCTGTTTATCTGAAGATAGCAGATTAACTTGATGGCAGGTACTCTTTTGGAATCTCTAATTCGTTCTAAAAACAAAAGGTTGAGGTTCTGGAAAGACTTCTTTCCTCCACGTGCTCTCATGCACACGCTCATGGACATATATACAGAAACACCAAAAGAGTATGAGACTAGGGGTACCACTTCGTTGGAGGGTATAAGGCTTTGGGTTCAATTCCTAGCACTGAAAAAAAGGGGGGAAGGTATAGAGAGGGAGGAAGAGGGTAAAAAAGAGTACATGGGTCACTGGGTGTGACCAAAGCTTGGTGGATGTGTGTATGGAAATATCACAGAGAAATCCTTAGTATTCATTTATAATTACAAGTTTTAAAAAATAGTGGAATGACCAGAGATCATTTTGGAACTTAGAACCTCCTCTTGTCATGAGGTCTTGGGATGCTGCATAGCTTTACAGTATCCTCATGTGAGATGGAGTCAAGGTTCTTAACTGGGATTTCTTTAAATCCTACACATTGCTATTTTAGACTCTTCAGTCAACAGTAGTACACATTGAAAAGTAGCTTGGGATAAAGAGAATTTAGGGAATGAAAGATAAGTGGGTCAAATTTTTCAGTATTACAGCCCTTTTTATCTGATAATCCTGAATGCCTGCCAGATATAAGCATTTACTTCTAGAGAGTAAGAAGTCACAAAGATATGAGTGGTGGTGGTGCATGCTTTTAATCCCAGCACTCAGGAAGCAGAGACCAGCAGATCTCTGAGTTGGAGGCCAGCCCGGTCTACATGGCAAGTTCCAGGACAGCCAGGGCTACACAGAGAAACCCTGTTTTGAAAAACCAAAAAAAAGGCTGGGCGGTGGTGGCACACACCTTTATTTCCAGCAGAGGAAGGCCAACCTGGTCTACAGGGTGAATGCCAGGATAGCCAGATAGCCAGGGCTGTTACACAGAGAAACCCTGTTTGGTGACTTGGCGGGGGTGGGGGTGGGGGGTGTCACAAGGGCAAGAGAGCCTGTGGCCTGAGGAGCTTATATTCACTGAGCACTTGCTGTGTGTCAGGCAATGCCCAAGCACTCTGTGCTTCTAGTTCATTTGTTCTTCACAGTGACCCTTTGAGATGGTTATTGTTATCTCCATCTTGCAGATAGGGAGCAGGTTTAAGTGACCTGCCAATCTTTAGTAATGAATGTTGAAGAGACAGACCTTGGAGTGGGCATATGTTGAGATAATGAATGCCCATGGTGTTATAAGAAAGACAGAAAGTTGTGTTACAGCAATGTGGAGTCATCTAACCACCGAAGAATGTACTATGTGAGCAGACTCCTGCACATTGCAAGTAATTGAAATTATGGTATTATTTTCAGTTGTGGAGGTGGGAAGGGAGCTATACTTTTTTTGTTCATTTTTTCAAGACAGGGTTTCTTTGTGTAGCCCTGGCTGTTCAGGAATTCAATCAATCTGTCAACCAAGGTGGCCTCAAACTCATAGATCTGTCTGCCTCTGATTTGTACCACCATGTCTAGTAGGTTTGATGCTGTGAAATATTTATTAAGGATCAGAGAAATGGCCCATCAGACACAAGCCTGATGATCTGAGTTCAGTCCCTGGATCTCACAGTGAGATGGGAAGAACCAGCCCTGAAAGTTGTCCTCTGACCTCCACACACATACCATGGCATGCATACTCCCACATTCTGTCTTTCACACATTATACATGATGATAATGATCATAATTTTAGAAACAAGGTGCTGAAGAGATGATTTAGTAGTTAAGAGCACTTGCTGTTGTTACAAACCAGAGTTTGGTTCTCAGCACCCATGCTGGATAGTTACAAGCCCTCTTCTGGCCTTGCAAGCACCCACATGCATACATGAGCATGTACACGTGTATGCACACAAATAAAAAAAAAAGTAAATCTTATAAAAAAGACAATATAAATGTTAGGACTCACATCGATGTAACAAATGCCATGAACTAACTTAACTTTCTATGCTCCCCAGGCTGTTGTCCCTGGACCAGCAGAACATCCCCTGCAGTACAACTACACCTTTTGGTACTCTAGGAGAACCCCCGGCCGTCCTACCAGTTCACAGAGCTATGAGCAGAACATCAAGCAGATTGGCACCTTTGCCTCTGTGAGTACTTAGTCTGGTGGAATATACAGCACTCATATACCTTCATTTCTTTCTGTCCCTGTGTCTGCCTTCCTAGTAACCTGCTAAACATTCTTGAATGGCTTGCACTCCCTCAAGGTCATATTTGTTCAATTCTTAGGTAACATTTAGGTAATCTAAGTATGGAAAAGTAGCTTTGATCAGAAAGGCATAATACAAAAATAAAAAGAGTTTTGGTTTGAGGTTTCTTACTTTAACAGATGTTTATTGAGTCCTTATATAGAGAGTGTCATAAGAGAGACAGATTTACCGTATATGATGTCCATCCTCATGAAATTAGATTCTGACAATACAGAGTGCTCGGGCTCCTCCTCACCACAGCCCATCCTTACCCTCCCTCCTGGCTCTTTACCCTGACTATATACAGCTAACACACACAGCTAAGTGTACCTTGTTCAGTAGAGATTTTCCTGCACCCCTGTGTGCTCTATGTTCAGTCTGTGTGCAGAATCAGTTTTCTAAGAATGGGTCTTGCTGGGTAACCCAACTGGCCTGGAGCTTGCCACAGTCCTATCTCAAGTGCTGGGATTACAAATGTGAGCCACCATACCCAGTTTATTTCTAACACAGAAGCCGTCAGAGAAGTTTGGATTATCTGCTGTATGGGAATGTTAGACTAGTTTCTAAGTACAGTGGCAGCCACTATGTTAGGAAGACATTTTCATTCAGAGTTCTGTTGAATTATTTCAGAATAACTATGATTATGTCTTGCATTTTTCTTTCCTATACAGAAAAAATGTTAAAAAAAAAAAAAAGAAAGAAAGAAAGAAAGAAATGTGAGTTTACCCCAAGGAAACAAGGGAATTTTATGTTTTCTTTTTTTCCTTGTGGCATTCAGATGTTTGCCATCAACACTGTCAGTATTCACTGGACAAGTGATAGAGCCTAAAGTCTGCCATCATAATCCACAACATTAAGAAATAGCCTGTGGCTAGACGGAGGTAGTGTACATCTTCAGTCCCAGCACTCAGGAGGCAGAGGCCAACCAGGTGTACAAAGTGATTTCCAGGACAGCCCTACACAGAGAAACCCCGTTGCATTGAAAAATCTTAAAAAAAAAGAAAAAAGAAAAGAAATACCCTGTGATACTAAATCCCTCCCAGAGAAGTAATGATAACATCAATCCTTTTTCAGATCTAAAGCAATAGTTCTAGTGTTTTGGTTTTTTGAGTTTCTTTTCTTCCTTTTCTTGTTTCTCCCTTTCCTCTCCTTCCCTCCCCAGCCCTCCCCTCCTTTCTGAGACAGAGTCTCACTGTACTGGCCTAGAATTCTAGTCACTATATAGACCAGGCTGGCCTTGAACTCACCAAGATCTTCCTGCTTCTGCCACCACCTTTGGTCTAAAGGTTTATATTTTTACTTTTGTTTATGTATATGTGTATATGTGCACACATGATTGTAGGCACCCTCAGAGGCCAGAAGAGGGCATTGGATTCCCTACATCTGGAGTTACAGCTGATATGAGCCTCCCATTGTGGTTGCTGGGCATCAAACTCCAGTCGTCTGGAAGTACAGCAAATACTCTTAGCCACGGAGTCATCTCTCCAGCCCAAAGGATGTCTTTTCAAAAGCTCCACTTCAAGCCAAAAGTACTAATCACTGACTCAGGCTGAAAAAGGACCTTTAAGAGCCATTGCAGCTCCTTTTCCCATACATTTGGGAAAGTGGGAGTCTGCCTAGCACAGAGCCAGGACAGCACAGGTTGTGATTTTGTGTTTTGAGACAGGGTGTTGCTAGACCTTATTCTGACTTGGAACTTGTGAATCTCTTGCCTCAGCTTCCTGAGAAATGGCACCCATAAGCCACAGCCCCTCACTAGAATGCTGCTCTTGCAGAGGTCCCACAGCACCCACGTCAGGTAGCTCACAACTTCCTGTAATGCCAGCTCCCGGGAATTCTTGAATCTGAGCTTGTGGATATATGCACATGTGCACAGACACACAGATACACACATAACTAAAAATCTTCTTTACAAACAGACATCTTTGAAAGTTTAGTGCTATTTTTATTATTTTAATTATTTTAATTATAATAATTAATGGGGGCATTACATGAATGCACCCCAAGGTCCAGAGGTATCAGATCCCCGGATCTGATGCTATGGGCAGTTATAAGCCTCTTGATGTGAGTGCTGGGGATCGAACTCAGCTTCTTAGGAAGAGCAGTGTGTGCTCTGAGATCTCTCTCCAGCCCCTTAATGCTACAATAAGCTGTTTATTTTACCTCTCTTGTGGTTTGAATACAAATTTGTGTATTTTGCCTGTAAGATCTGGAGACATAACCATCAAATGATTCTTGCCTACGGAATTAATATGTTTTGTCCACACCATACTCTTCCATTCCTAGTTCACAGTAAGCCTTGGTTCTCATGAGCTTAGATTTTTCAGTTGTTATGGTGGGTAAAAGTTTAGATTACTGCTCACTGTGTATGACCGCTTAATATTCCAAATTACTGTATGTACAGATAGGCCTCGCAGTTGCAGAGGTGAGGTGTTGCATTAAAATCCTATAGTTTTTGACTTTGAAATGTGTAAGACATTTCATATGTTCTGTTCTGGAAGGCAGCTGGAGAGAGAACAACTATTTCATGTGATAGAAGGGCAGTTCTCTTACTGTCTAGATTTCACGGGGGCCTGAATCTCTGCCAGCACTTGTTTCCTGCTACATAGGTTTGTCAAGTGTGGTATTGACAGTTAACCAGTAGCTGGCTCCTGTTCCATATCTCCACTTCCTAAAGTGCTTCCTTATGCTCATGCCTACAGGTGTGCTCTCTAGGTCACAGGGACCAAACTGATGAGTGTGTGTGTGTGTGTGTGTGTGAGAGAGAGAGAGAGAGAGAGAGAGAGAGAGAGAGAGAGAGAGAGAGAGAGAGAGAGACATGTGAGAGAGAGAGACAGACAGACAGAGACGTGTGTGTGTGTGTGTGTGTGTGTGTGTGTGTGTGTGTGTCAGAGAGAGACAGAGACAGATATGCAGGCAGGCAGACAGAGCATCTGCTAAGTGTCTACAAAAGAGGGCATCGGGCTGGAGATATGGATCAGTGGTTAAGAGCACTGCCTGCTCTTCCAAAGGTTCAGAGTTCAATTCCCAACAACCACATGGAGGCTCACAACCATCTGTAATGAGATTTGGTGCCCTCTTCTGGCCTGCAGGCATACACACAGGCAGAACACTGTACACATAATAAATAAACAAATCTTACCAAAAAAAAAAGAGGGCATCAGATCCCCTGGTGTTGTATTTACAGGCAATTGTGAGCCACTCAGTGTGGGTGCTTGGAACTGAACTCAGGTCCTTTGGGAAGAGTAGCAAGTCCTCTTAACCACTGAGTGTCTGGATTTCCATCCAGCCCTTTGTTTGTTTTTGAGGCAGTGTCTTACTATGTATTGCCCTCCCATCTGTGTGATCTCAATCCCCTAGCTCCAGAATACTGGAATTACAAGTGTATAAATACATTTGAAAGAAAAATACACTTAGTTTTCAGAAATTTAAGGTAAGTCAAAGAGAAACATAAACTTTCCAGCTGAGAGGAGGGATAGAAACCTCAGCCCTAGGCCAGACTGGGCTACAGTGAGAGACTCTGCTTAAATAAAAAGAAAAAAGTTAGATTTGGCTCTATAAGTATATGGAGGTGCAGCCCTGTGGTGCCTGACATACCTCAGACAGTTTCAGTTGTGCCAAAAGCTGGTGCTGATACTGCATGGTGGGAGGAGATATCTGTTGGTGTGGCTTGTTTTACTACCTTAAAGCTGCTGGCTAAGGCCAGTTTTATCTGTATTAGTGTCTGGCTGAATGGGTGTCTCTGAACCACATGTTACAGTGCCCAAAAAAGTCTGGAGAGGGCATTGAATCCCCTGGGACTGTGAATCACAGGTGCTTGTGAGCTGCCATGTGAGTGCTAGGAAGTGAATCTGGGTCCTCTGGAAGGGTCAACCAGTGTACTTGACCCTGAGCCAGCTCTCCAGAGTTTATCCTTGTATTTGAATTGTTGTCTGTTATGGTTTTGTTTTGTTTTTTCCTTTGACTAAACTATATTTGCCAGACATAGTAGTGTGAACTTATATAAGAAACCTGTCTCAAACCAAATAAAATATAAGACTTTTTTTCTAGTATGCTCTTTTTTCTACCCTGTTCCAAATGAAATGTGTCCCCAAAGAAGATAGCTGAGGTAGGGTGTCTCCCATGTTTCTTCCAAATAACACAGCTTTGTGTGCATTCAAAGAAAAAATTTCTTGTACTCTTGGCTCTTCTTTCTGCAGGTGGAGCAGTTCTGGAAGTTTTACAGCCACATGGTACGTCCTGGGGACCTGACAGGCCACAGTGACTTTCATCTCTTCAAAGAAGGAATTAAGCCTATGTGGGAGGTGAGGACTGATGCCTCTGGCTGCTTTTTTGTTTGTTTGTTTGTTTTTTGTTTTTTCGAGACAGGGTTTCTCTGTATAGCTTTGGAGCCTACCCTGGCACTCGCTCTGGAGACCAGGCTGGCCTCTGCCTTCTGAGTGCTGGGATTAAAAGCGTGAGTCACCAACGCCCAGCGCCTCTGGCTGCTTTTTAAGAGCAGATTTGTTTTTCTTTTTTCTCTTTCTTTTTTTAAATTTAAGCCCTACCAAGATTAAAATATTTTTGAAGTTTTCTCTCAAAGCTGTAACACTATTTGATAAATCTTGGGAGTCTTTTACCTCTGGGAAAAGGCATTGATGCAATTGCATGTATTCATGGGTGTAGCTGCAGGGTGACATTAAAGATGATGCTGTTTTCGTTACTGTTGTATCCCTGTAAGAGACATCAGGACCAACCCAATTATTATAAGGAAAAGCATTTAATTGGGGCTTGCTTACAATTTCAGAGGTTTAGTCCATTATCCTGGTGGGGAGCATGGTGCCATACAGGCAGGCACTGGAACAGTAGCTGAGTATCCTGAGCCATAGGCAGAGATTCTGGGCTTGGCATGGGCTTTTGAAACCCCAACACCCACCCCCACCACCCCTGCAACACATTTACCCTAACAAGCCACACTTCTTAATCCTTCTAATCCATTCAAATAGTGTTATTCCCTGCTGACTATGAATTCAAATATATAAGCCAAGCCTATGGGGGCCATTCTTACTCAAACCATCATAGGTGCTGTCACTTAAAATGGTGTTATTATAGGAGTAAAAACCTTTAGATGTCCTTGTTCCCATAGAACTCATGTCTGTGTGTACATGTATATGTAATGCATTTGCTTAGTAGATAGAGAATAAAGAGGTAAGAAAAAAACTTAAGAATAACAGGAGACTCAGAGGTAAGCTCTGTGATCTCTTTGCAGAGCTGTTACTTAAATGCACTTTTGTGCAACACATACTCCAGTGCCAGAACATTTTTCTGAGGAAAAATGTCCTAAAAGACATCAAAATCTTGTCTTCCCTAGGTCACATATCCCTGACTCTGTGTAGACATGTTCCTCCCGTTGTCCTCAGCATCCTTTACCTGCTTTACATGTCAAGACCAGCATACGAATTTCCTCTTAAGGTTTCTAGCCATATGCTCTCACCATTGAGTGTGCACTGTTACAGTAGTACTCATTAGACTGGCTGTTATTAATTTGTTGTCTGAGTTAAGATCTGAACTTCAAGATGGGCGTTAGTGGCTCACACCTTTAATCCCAGCACTTGAAAGGCAGAGGCAGGCGGATCTCTGTGAGTTCAAGGCCAACCTGGTCTCCAGAGTGAGTTCCAGAGCAGGTTCCAAAGCAATATAAAGAAAAGATCTGAGCTTCTGTCTATGTACTTGCTACTTAGAGACAGCTTATTATGTCTGTGTTTGAAATGTGACTTTATTTCCTAAAATAATTTTGATTCCTAAAATAGTTCTTATAAAAGTAGATTATTTTTTGAAAAATCTATTTAGTGTTTTTATGAAAATGATTTAGATCAAGAATGCTGCCTTTTTGTCTTTGCTTTTTTTTTTTCCTTCTATTTCTCCTCTCAATAACATTGAAATAACCATTGAATTAGAAAGTAACCAGAAGTCCCTGATCTTCAGAAGTGTTCCTTTGGTATTCAAAGATGACGCTGTGGACTAGTATTTCACTTTCTATCTTTCTATAGGATGATGCAAATAAAAATGGTGGCAAGTGGATCATTCGACTTCGGAAAGGCTTAGCATCCCGCTGTTGGGAGAATCTCATCCTGGCCATGTTGGGGGAGCAATTCATGGTTGGGGAGGAAATCTGCGGGGCTGTGGTCTCTGTCCGCTTTCAGGTAAGTCTACCCGGCCCAGTGTTCTTTCTTGTGTTGCCGCTGCTACTCTCATTGATGCTTCTGGTTGGTTTGATAATTCATTCTGTTCCTCCCTTAGGAGGACATTATTTCTATATGGAATAAGACCGCCAGTGACCAAGCAACCACAGCCCGAATCCGGGATACTCTTCGGCGCGTGCTTAACCTACCTCCCAACACCATTATGGAATACAAAACTCACACCGACAGCATCAAGTACGTGTTGGGGGGGTTGGGGGGGACAGGTCCCTGAGCTTAGCAGAAATAGCTCCATAGTTGGGCCCAGACGCATGTGGGCATACATGACCCTGACTTGTGGAGTAGGAACACACCAGCCCCTCCAGGGCTTTGGCCACTTGCTGAAGTTCTTGTTAGTGAGGACCTACTGTGAGGTGTTGTGGAGCAGAGAGCCCTTCTGCAGGATCCCAGTTTTCCTGCCTATGCTGGCTTCATTTTTACAGGCTGTCTTGTCTTTCCTATGCTAACCACTGCTTTAAAATGAAAGACAGAACTCTTTCAGTGGTTTTTTTTTTTTTTTTTTTTTTTTTTTTTTATGGCTGTTTTTAAAGACAATTTCATTAAATAATAAAATCCTCTTCCCTGCCCACCCTGACCCCACCTTTGCATGTCTGTTTAACCTGTTAGCTTTAGTCTGTCTTCTTTGTCTTCGGAGATTGACTTTTTATCAGAGATGGTGACTCCACTTTCTATATATAGAGTTGAAATCTAGAGGAAGCAGGGTAGATTGTGAGAGAGGAGAACAGAGGGAAGGTAGAGTCACAGTACAAAGAAACAATGAGTGCTTTCCACGTTGAGAATCCCTGGTGAGGGCTTGCTCCTTCAGTGACAGAGATGAGCTCAGGTCATTATGAATAGGTTATGGGAGTGGCTGCCAGATTGTCTCAAAGGTGGATGGAGAGCCAGCCAGCCAGGAGTCAGGTTTCTCTATGTGTATTGTCTCCTGTGGCCCTGAGTCAGTATGTGCCTTTGGCAAGTCTCTGCAGCTGTGCTTCAGTTTCTCCAGCTATAAGACAGGAGTACAGGAATAAATAGTAAGGTTGTGGTAAAGCTGGTTTAATCTTTGTAACTGAGGGTCCTCAGAGCAAGAAAGCTCTTACAGGACCAAATATTATTGCTGTCATCATTAGTACAATGTCATCATCATGGCATTCCTATTCAAGACTAACAGTGAGCCAGTAGTTGTGTTCATCAGCAGGCAGACTATATGAGACTCTCTTTCCCATGCATTCACATATAATGTTGTAGGTGGAGTTTGCTTATACCAGCTAGGTGCCAGTTAATAACTGGGAGTACTGCCATGGGAATTGGTGGCTGCCTCTGACTCACTGGAGCCACCAGCACTCATTTGCCATCTATGACCCTGGTTGCTTGTCTCAGCAATCCTGTATCAACATTATTTTTCTTAGAGTAGATCGGTCTTACTCTCTGCTTCAGGATAGAGGTAGTGTCTGCCCTCCTGCTAGGTTTAGTCCAAGCTCTAAAGGTCTACATCTTTCCCTAGGATTCTTGTTAGCTAGGTTCCCGTTTACCCTGGTTAGGAAAGGAAAGGGGTAGTTTTCATTCACTCCCCAGTGTTCTCCCTCTCTGATACCTGGAGGCAGTTCATCTTGACTTGTAAAGTCCCATGAGCAAGTCCTTCCAGGACCTAGGAGCCTCGGGACTCCTGCCCTGCAGCTGTAACGCCCTCCTCAAGACCCAGATGCCACTTTCCCTTGCTCCCCACTCTCTTTCCTCTCCCAATGAGCTACCTTTTGCACTTCCACTAGAATGCCAGGCAGGCTGGGCCCCCAAAGGCTCCTTTTTCAAAACCTCTGGAAGCCGCGATTGAATGTGCCATGACCCTCTCCCTCTCTGGATGGCACCATCATTGAAGCTGGCGTCATCGGAGTCTCTTGTTCTGTTGGCGTGCCACCTGGAAGACCCTTCTGTCCTGGACAAGAGGAACGGAAGAGCATGTTATGCTTTGAGAACAGGCTGACAGCAGCAGCTACAACAACAGCTGAGATCACAAATAAATGGTGCTAAACCAGCTTGTCTCATGCTCTTGCTCTTTATGGTGCATCAAGATGTGGCCTTTGGATTGACTGTCACCATTATCGAGGGATGGCACACAGACTTCTCCATGCAGGGCCATTCAGGGAATGCAGCTTCATATCCACAAGCCTATTGTGTAGTTATATGGTACTTTATTCCTGGACTCTTGCGGTCTGACATAATGAGGTGACATCTAGCTCTCAAAGTAAGCCCCTACTGCCTGGTGCTCAAGTGTACTAGTTCCCATCCAGTTAGACTGATGGCTGGCCCAGAGTGGTGGCTGAGTTCAGGTCCAGCCTGAAAGTCTCTTGAGGTTGAAAAGGGGGTATTCTTGACTTTTCTTTGCTAACTTCCATTTGCCTTTAGTTCATAGAAATCTCTTGCTTGGAGCTAAAGCCCTGCTTCTGTCTGTCTGTGGCTGTACATAAATACTTTTTTGCTTTGTGCTAATGGGGTGTTCTCTCTGGTGCCAAAGCTGCTTGGCAGCCTCCTCCCTTTCCTTGCAGAGTAGATTGTCTTCCTCTTTAGTAGTCTTGCTTGATGAGAGCCCTTCCATTCTCCCAGCCCAGGGTTACTGTGCCAGGTCTAAGGTGAGAGGTGCCTTCATCTTGGGGGACATCGCCTCTGTCATCTGAATGTACACTGTCCTTGTGAGTACTATGGCTTTGCTTATGTGTGTGTGCAGCTTGGCTTTCAGGCCCTTAACCTGCATGGAGACTTTCAGCAAGCTTTGTTAGCTACCCCCAAAACTGAAAATTAAAAAGCATTTTTGTGAACTCTGGGTTGCTTGAGTGGGAGGTAACTACAAGGTTGTGTTTTCCAGAGTGCCTTGTCCAATCTGGCAGCAGCACACTCTGTAATACCAGCTGGCTGACTTCACTCTAGTCTTCGTATGGCCCAGGAGTCCACAAATTGTGAGACCTTAGACTCCATGTTCTGGGAATGTTCATGCCAGTGTTGCTTTACCACATTCTCCAGATTGGCTGAAATATCTAGTAAAAGAGATGTGCTGGAGTACAGAAAGACTGTTGTCTGTTGAACAATGTCTTGTCAAACATTGGCTTTCTTGGGCCTTCTGCCTTATCTTTCACTGTGAGGTGTGTGTGCATTGTAGCTGCACCAGTGAATAAACTTGATGCCACTTTCCAGAGTTAAGAGTCTTAGCAGAAGGCTGAGCTGAGACCCCATCCGATCCTGGCCACATGTGAGATGCCAGCACTGCTCCTGCCTTGGTCTGGTCATTGTGGATTTTGCTTGAGCCAGTGAACAGCATCTGCTGAGACTGAGAAGGCCAGCAGTGATGGTTGTCTCCCAAGTACTCTGGAGATGAGGTCTGCTAAGAGAGTGAGGGGCATGCTTTTAGGAGTTGCTCAGCTTCTTCACTCAAGCATTCCTCCAGCTTGCTGTGTTTGAGCCAATTTCTACTGTCCATTGTCTGTTTGTCTTTCCAGCCTCCCCTGGTCACCCTGCCCTGCCTGTTTCCTGCAGCATCCCTGGGTGAACCAGGAAGTATTCATCACCCCACAGACAGGCTACTTTGCTTGGTCCTTGTGCTGCTGACTAAGAAGGATGGAGCTTACTCACTTATGTTTGTATCAGGTCACAGCTCTGGAACTTGCCATGTAGTCCACACTGGCCCCCAAATTCACATAAGAGTGCTGGAACTAGTGCCACCATGCCCAGCTCATGCCCAGCTTGTGATTCCTCTTAGTGAAGCAGTTTTGAGTTTTCATAGGTTTGGGTCCTTACATCAAATGGCTCACTGCATCCTCTACTTGAGAAAACTCATAACACAGCCAGAATTCTGGGGCCACCAGGGTACTGCTGTCACAAAGGTTGTTAACACAGTACTGTCTTGTGAGAACATGGCTTATTGGAGTCGCCTCACTGATTCCTTTTGCATGTGGTCTGGAATAGCAGAAGGGCCCTCTTCCTATAGTGGAGTGCAGTGCTGGGGAAGACTGGCAGGGTTTCTCTGCAGAGTAAGGGAGGAGAGAGACTTACTTCTCCTGGCCATTGTGTTTCAGCATTGAACATGTGCAGAAGAGGGCCAGCCCACTCACTCTATCCTAGTTCAGTCATAACCTGGTGACACTGGGTTGCTTTAGCTTAATAGCTGCCTAACCTTGCACTGTGCACTGTACCCAGATTAGCAGGTGGCTGAACCCCTTTCTGGGTGTTGAGGACTGGCTGAGAACAAGGCACTGATTCCTATAGTCTTTGGGCAGGGATAGGGAAGCATAAATGAGGTCCCCTTGTTCTGACAATTTGCTTTCTGGTAAGTGAGATGGGATCAGTTGACCTTACAGGGTTCTTTGCTGCTGTCACTGGGATCTGCTCAGAATTCTCAGTGGGCTTTATTAATCTCTGGTTTGTCTGTCTTTAGATGCTTGAAGCATGGCAATTTCTAGGATAACTTCCTCTTTAAAGGAGGAAGGTTTGATGTTACCTAATGTACTTGGGATGCCAAGGGGAGGGAAAGTAACTAGGAATTCACACTGGGTTGGCCTTTGAGAATAAGAGCGAGTACACCAAAGTCTGTGGCCAGTGCTGTATTTCCCCAGTCTTCATGTCTAAGCTTAGGGAACAGGAGTTCAGTTTATTCTCTGGAGTCCATGTTTTTTCCAGATCTTCACCCATGATCTATTGTTAGGAGGTGTAGTAGCAGTAGGCCCCTTCTGAATCAAAAGGATAAACGAGATGAACTTCAACCCTGCTATATGATTCCTTGTTGAACTCTAAGTTACTTAGAGTACTTAAATCTTGGTGTTAGAGAAATTCCCAGGTCATTGTTCAAGTGTTGAATTTTCACTTGTCCTCATTGAGAGTGAAGAGTGAAGCTGTCTCCAACATCACTTAGGAATTTAGAGTGCAACTCATCACTGTCTCTCCAGAAAGCTTGGGAGCTGACAAATTCTGTCATACTTCTTAAACAGTCTTAGGTTTTTCTTTGAGTCAGTTGTCATAAACTAGTAGCTTTGATAATATTCTGGGGGGAGAAACATAAATTCTGCTATTTTGCAGAGGGAAAATGTTGATGAAACTGGGACAGACATTACCTAATCCTTAATTAATAATTTTACTTATTTTTGAGACATGGTGTTACAATATAGCCCTGGCCATCCTGGAATTTACTATGTAGACCAGGCTGGCCTCAAACTCACAAGAGATCCACCTTCCTCTGTTTCCCAAGCACTAAAATTAAAGTTGTGTCCCTCCTTGCCCAGTCGCCTATTCCTTTAAAAAATAAAATAAAATAAAAAACTGCCTATAGTGACTAATAATGAAATATATTTTAGTACTTAAAATACTAAATGTGTAGTGAGAGTCATGATGTATTGTCACTCAGTGCTGTTACTTTACTACCTTAAACCAAGAGAAGACTAATTGCCTGGCCTGATGGTACAAGCCTTTAATCCCAGCATTAGGAAGGCAAAAGAGACAGATGTCTTGAGTTTGAGGCTAGCAAATTCTAGGCTGGTGTTAAGTTTGATATATAGTGCCTAGGATAATCACTGCTTTCAACTGAAAAGTGGGCAGGACAAAAATTCTAGAGAAGTTAAGGTGGTGTAAGATTCCAAAACACTGGGGATCAGATTTTCTCCTCCTCACATGCAGCAGCCACTGACGACTGTCTGTGAGCTGTGTGTGCATTCCCTCCACTCACACTTGTAATTCCTTCCTAACCACATTTCTAGATCATGTCCAACGTTGTGTTAATCGGCATGAAGTTGTAGTGAACTCTGTTAACTGGAAATGATACTCTGCCATGACCCACACATCTTAAATCTAAAGATAGGACCTACATGGGTGTTTTCAGAAGCAGATAGAATCTGATATATTCAGCATCTCAAGTTGAGGAAGGTTAGAAGGTGAAAGCAGGGACCACGACATATAACTGGGTTGCATCTTTCACCAGAATGCTGGTGGATCCTTGGCTTTACCCTTGGGGTCAGGCCCAATGAAGAAAGGTGATTTCCACTACGTGTTCCCAGGACCCAGTGCAGCAAAGGCAAGAACTGTTGCCCTTTGCAAGATGCAAGTGTTTGTGGGCATGGCTGAGCTTCAACTCTGACCTCAGTGCCCTCCCTTTACCCCTGTTGAAGGAACATTGGCAAGTCCTCAAGGGAATAGTGAAGGCTAGACTTCCTAAGTAAAGCAAGCTGAAAATGCCAGCTGCCTGCCCGTCTGAGAAGAAAGCCTGCTGGGAGCCTCACCACTCTTTACCCAGCTCCCTGTGTCTCCAGTCAGCATGGAGGGCATCGAAATGGGAGGTGGGGTGATGGTGTCTACTCTCTGTTCAAAGCGTTTGATCTGAATGTGCTGTTGTTTTTTTGTCTCTGGTTTACCAGGGCCTGGGAGGAGTTTCATGGCCTGGTGAACAGCAGCGGCCGCTGATCGGACGCTCCCCCTCTGTCTCTCACACTCAGGGTAGGGCCTTGTCTACCTTCTCTGTAACCCCATGACATACCTCTCAGCCATAGGAGCCCTCTCCCCAAGGGGATGCCCTCTTCCCATTTGCCTCCAGCCTTGCCTCTGCCAGCATTGCACCTCAGGGAAACATGGAGTTCCAAACTCTTCCTCCCTAGATCCTGTGTCTCAGGGTGAACCCTGTATAGGTGACCAGACCTCACACTTCTCCCATTTGGCTCTGTGCACCAACAGATCTGAGATCACTTCAGATGCTAACATTCCATGAGAGTAAATATGCACCATATCTTCCTGTTTGTGCAGATGTAGCCATTTTAAAGCCATCTGCAAATGTTCTGTGGCCAAAGGACAGTTCCCCTATGGGTAGGTGAGAGGTATGTCTCTCATTTGCTGCTATTGCTTGCCAGTTTTGAGGAAACTACATTGTAAATTTAGTTTCCATGATGAAATTCAACAGACAGGTGAATTTCAGGACTGTAGGAGGTCATGGGTCATGGTGACATGACAGGTGGCCCCAGAGTAGGGAAGGCTGGGCCAACTCTAGCATCCACCTGCCTGAGTATT